GACACCACAGAAACCAAGCTTGGGCTACCTGTGGACCTACCCTTTTTCCGACTCGGGGGCTTTCTGTAATGGCAGGAAGCGTACCGATACCGAGGGTTTAGTGTCCATGATTGAAAGGAGTTGAATACAGGGGGGAATGGAGGGGAGGGGGGACAGACGGTTTAAACTACCAGTAACCCACTTACACCAAGACTCTTTAAGAATAAGAAGAAAATCGGGTGGGAGTTTGTGATGACGGGGAGGGGTACCTCGACCTCCCAGTATATGAGCCTCTGGCTCGATACAAGGCCGGGGTAACTTAATTTATTCTACATGATGTTTATAGAGAGGTCAGTGGCGGATCCAGGATTTTTCAAGGGGGGGTTCCGTTTCTTAAACTGTGTATAATTCTCTTTTGTTTAGTCGATGTTTGACAAAAAAAATTGGCTCTAATCACCTAATTTACTATCTAGTAACGGACCAAGCTATAATAACACGACCCAACGCAAAACTACTAATATTCTTTTATTAAAATTTATATAAGACATATTTCTATTACCTAAAAGATCAAACCTTCAAGGGGGGTTCAGTGGACCCCTTCTACCCCCCCCCCCCCCCGATCCGCCACTGGAGTTAATTTAGACCGGAGGGGAGATGGATGATAGCGTCTGCCCATACCCTCTATCTCGACTCAAAAAATGTATTTTTGAAGTTTCTGTTTCCTCCACAACTATTACTGAACGTCTTGCTTGCGGCGCCTGCACTCGAAAAATGGACCTTAGGCTTAAGTGTTGAGCTTTTCCATTATCAGACCCGTGGTCCGAAAGATTCATACCGTTTGACATTCGATTTAGACGGAAGCAAACCCTGAAAAGCGCTAAGTGACGATTCAACGCGTGCTATGCCAAAGTTCCTCTTTTCCTAGTATCTACCTTTGTTTTCTTCCGGTTTTTACCTTTGCATGATCAGAGTAGAACAGGATTTAGGAACACGTCAACTAGTCGTGGCGATTCCAATGTCGTCACTTCCGCTGGGTGTCAAAGGTCGGGAGAGGAAACTCATTCTGATAGGGGCAATCTTCTCTATCCGGCAGGCAACGTGTTTACCCAATCACGTTTGATGCTCAGAACGAACCCGTTATTTGTCTATCATTGGCTGACGCTGGATTATAAATACCAAAGAATCAACCTTTCGCGCAATCGGTACCAAGATCTAGAGTAAGTGAGTTCGTTTTCTTTGTAAGATTAAAGTTCGTTCTTTGCGAGATTAAGAGAAAAATTACTTGGAAATTCGTTTCGTCGTAAAACATCATGAAGTCTCTGATTCTTTTGTTGGTTTGTGTGTCCTTGACTCAAGGTAAGTAAGCATGAAGAACTCTTGCGGTTAACTGGTATTCTAATCACTTCTTACGCTACGGCGTTGGCGAATCTTCTCGTCTGCTTAGAAGAAAACCGAAACGCAATACCCGAGAATTTTGAAAACAAATCTGCCTAGCCTATTTTCCTTCATAAATGCTATGATTTATTTTAAGTTTGCCTTGTTTTTCTTTCATTTCTTTGGTTTTCGTATATTGAGCACATGAAAACAACATGGAGAATTTTTACCCAAGGAAACTCGGTGATGGATGGAAACTCAAAATGAAAAGTTACTTTTCAAGTTTATTGTTGATTTGCTCAACGTTTTTCAAGTAAATTATACTTAAATAACGAAAAACCTCAAAGAAGAAGATTCCAGTAATTTCTTAAATGTTTATTATCATTGATAAAATGATGCTTGTTCTAAAGTTTCGAGTTCTAATCTTATCTCAGTATGTAACAAAAGACCAAAGCGCTTCGTCTTTTCCAAGTGGTGATAGTAAAAAATGTAATGTTCGCTTGAAAGCTTTCAGTGCCCCGACATTGCCCTTTGCAAACTCGTAATTGAGAGTCAGTATTTCTACGATTAGGACGTAAACAAAACTCATTTTCTTCATCTGAAAAAAGTATTTAGTTTGATGATGTTGTTTCAGAGAACGAGTAGACTCGTGTAAGATTAGAACATATTTTTCTTGACCTTTGGAGTCAAAGTATTTCATGTCATACATGTCATTCAAATATGTTTTTTAGATATTGGATAAAGCGAATTTCATCTTTTAACCTTACAAAAGTCTTTAGGAAATCTTACGCAATTGTTTAGGAATTTTCCTCATTGTTAAAGACATCCATTCCATCGCATGACGAGGGCGTCCAAACGAAGATCAGTTGCCTAGAATAAACTGAACTGCTGTTTTTGTTTAACCACTAAATGCCGTTAAGTGAAAGACAAAAATCACGAAAAACAGAATTACGGTTGAAATTTAAGGATTGTTTAAACAAAATGTCCTCAAAAAAACGAGAAATAACGTATCTTAAGTATCCTTATTGTATATAAAGTATCCATACTTTATATGCGCTGTGGGACGTTCATAACAGTTAGAGATATTTCATACCATAGTTATGACCTTGAAATACTTTATTTGGGAACAGTTTCCTCTTGAAAACTATTACTGAATTATGTTTAGGTCGGCTCTAAAAACATTGACTGAGATAATGTAGGATAGGAAAAAAGAGGTGCTTTTGATGAAATTGTGGCAATCATGATTAATGCAGTGTAGAATTTTGTTTAGTGTTTATCAACTCTTCTCAGGAGACTCAACAGATGGGAAAAAGTAAGATTTAAAAGAATTTTTTTAAATCTTAATTTTTCCATGATAAATTTAATGGAAATCGGAACTGGACACTCGTCCACGTAGAACCCCGGATGTTTGACGTCATAGCACCACCTTAAAATGAATTTCTTACGAGAACGTGTTAAAGCACAACTGTGACGTCAGCGACGTTGTCAAGGCCCGTTGTTTTGATTGGCTGAGAAGAGAGAGAGAGAGAAAAAAGAAGGCATTTTAGACTCGAGGATCTATTATTATTTAACGATGTGAATAAGTTCACGTAAAGTTTGAACGCCACCGGCATAAAGTTTGATGTTTCCCCCCAATTTCCATGGATCATTCTCGAATTGTTCTTTTACTTATCATTTAGATTTCAGGCCTGTCGTTGAGTTGTTTTGTGCTAGCTACTCATAGCTTTTTATCAATCTGTTTTTTTGTCGTTCTTCAGCCTTCAATCCATTTGGAATTTTTAAGGAATGGAAGGGAGAAGTTGAGGAAGCTATTGACTCCAGTGACCACCAGGAACACGTACAGAGATTCTTGGATGAAGCACATAAGACCAGAGTACACCTTGAGAATAACGAACATCATCGCAATAAGGTTGGCAAGGTATGTTAAAAAAAATAGTTGTACTTTTAGACTGGGCTGCCACAGGCAACCCAGTAATGCTATTGGAGTTGAGCTAAACCTTATAGTCAGTCATATAAAGCAAAACTGACTCATTGAAACTGGAGTTATTTAGTAGATGGTTTTCGTTATGGGAGGAAAGCCGGAGAAAAACCCTTGAATCAACAAGCTTATAAATGATGGTGGATGCTAGGGTTGAGCCCACGATCACAACAATGACAGTCAGCGCATTAACAGCTAACGCACACCACCCTTACTCACAAGTTCCATTCTTTACATGCTTCCAGGATCTACCAGATATTTGCAATCATCATCTTTATTCTACGCTTGTTTAATAGGTTTGGTTGAATTTTAAAAACAAGGCTGAAGAAACCTTAGAGAACGCCAAGGAAACTATTGATGAGGTCGAGGAAGAACTGAATGTAAACCAAGAAGTGCCAGAACACGCGAGAAAATTCATAAAGGAAATCCGTCAACAAACTCGTGGCATCGTGAAGTAAGTAAAAAAAATATTTTCGTTGACTAGGACATTTTCACTTGATGTGTAGCGCCATTCAGTTTTCGATTTTCTATAATAATAATAATAATGATAATAATAATAATAATAATAATAATAGGCTTTATTTCAAGAGGGTAAACACATAACTAACAGTAGTTAAAAAAACACTGACGACTCTGTGGCCCTCATATAATAATTCTAGCTCCTCTCGTTTCTGCGCGAGGAGTGAAAGAGATACTGCGTCTATTTTAACTAAATTCCATTTATTTTCAGATCACTCAAAAAGATCATTCACCCAATAAGAGAAGAGGCAGAAGAACCCCATATTTTCTCAAAGCTCCCAGATCCTGAAGTTTTTCCGACAGAACTTCCTGAGCCCGAAGTTCTTCCGACAGAACTTCCTGAACCCGAAGTTCTTCCGACAGAACTTCCCGAACCCGAAGTCCTTCCAACAGAACTTCCCGAACCCGAGGTCCTTCCGACTGAACTTCCCGAACCTGAGGTCCTTCCAACAGAACCTGAAGTTCTGCCGACAGAACTTCCCGAAGTGACCGAATATCCAGAATTCACTGAAGAACCTGAACCTACGGAGGAGCCTGAACCAGAAGTTCCTGAGGAACCGCAAACAGAAGAACACTCTGTAGAACTTATTAGTGAGCCTGAGAGTGATGTCCTTGGTGATGAAAATGATGACGATGATGATGATGCACCTGTTAGCCAGGTAGAAGAAAATGATGATGATGACGAGGATAATGATGATGATGACGACGATGAATCCACTGAAGCTCCTTCAGTGGTACCTGAAAAAGAAAATGAGACTCAAGAAGTTGTAGACGTGGCAAAAAGAGTCGAGGTAACTAAGGAAAACCTGCCCAAATGGCTGCTCAAGCGAAAGAACAAACTGCGAAAAATGTGGGAGAAATACACCCTGAACAACAGCGAGAAAGTTCTGGAGAAAATACGAAGACTTCAAGTGAGTCTCGCCAAGAAGACCGAAGAATGAGCTATATAGCTCATGATGTGAAGAAAGATAAGAAATATTTTTTTTCTGTTTTTGTTTTTATAATTACTTTCTATATCGATTTGTGTCATTTTCTATATAATCTTTATTTTATTTTTAGCGATTCTTGCATTTTTTATTATCATTTTTTAGATCGACTGAATAACTATGTGTGTAATATTCTCAGTTACGGCAGAAATAGCATTTTTTATCAGTTTTATAGAAGACGAGTTTGTCAAATTTTTACTCCTATATGGCTTGATAAGGTTTAATATCTGTGCGTATACAAAGCTATACCGTTCACGTTTGCTGCTATTTTATCCCATGTCGATGAAAGAATAAAAAGGATAAAAAGATATTAAATAAAAAGAGATAAAATAGTGTAGAAATATGATGGTTTTAATAGGATAAAAGATGTTATTCATCGAGGAAATTGTAATGAATGATTCTTATTTATTTTTCTTACGCTTGAGGGTCGTTTGTAGCGCGTTCCTCTTACAATTCAAACGATATCCAGATGTGAAAAAAATGAATGAGTATCTTTTATTATGATGGTTGTATTGCACGTATCTTGATTAAATGCTGGTATATTCTTTAGGCTAGCAGTCGCGCCTTTTTGCAGCCTATATGTGAACTACGATGTTTTTAGGCGAAATCACAGAGGATGCCATAAAAAAAACAACCCCCAAATTTAGAATAAAAACACAAGCTTATCTTAAAGTGTGTTATATTTTTATATGAGAATTATTTAAAAAGTGTGCTATGTTTATATAAAAAGAAAGGAAGGAAAGAAAGATTAAAAAGATAATGGCAACATTTTCGAAGAGTGTGAGACTTAAAAACACCGAAAATCTATATCCTAATACGAAGAAAACGCGCGCCGCGCCCGATTTTCCCGCCCTTTTCACCATTGAGCTCACTCACGAAAACAATATTTCAATTCTTTTATAAAAGTAATCAGAATTCCCCATAAATTTATTAAAACTATTATGTGCAAATATTTAGTTCCTTTTTCACAAAGAAATTTACTTTTCATTTCGGCATCGAGTTTGTTCAAACGGCTATAAATCACGATCCTCAAATCATCATCATGTATTCAACCCGCTCATTCTGTTCTCCGCGCTGGAATTTACCGCGGCTATTTATTTTTGTGACTTTACTTTTACAACGGAGGTAAGTTTAATTCTTATTTTGTCTAGTTTATATTAAAGCGAATACCTACTCTATTTGCCTTCCTGTTTCAAATCATTAGTACTCTCTTGAAGCGGTGTTTGTTTTGCCTCTTGTGATTTCTTTTTCGATGTTATTTTTCACAGTTCTCGCGAGAAATGGCCTTGAGGAAGTAACGACTGTTGTACAAACAAAAGAGGGAAATTAATCAACTTTTCACCCGTGAGATTCGAGTTCATTTACCGCATAAAGCTTAATTAGAGCACGGCTTCAAAATAACGCTGAATTTAAAGACATTTAGAAGGATTAATTGGATTCTTATTTGAGAGAGCAATAACGTTTATGCTTTTTTGATTTTTTTGCCGATTTATATGAAATGTGAAAAGGTTTTGAAAACGAATTGAGTTGAACAAAGCCAGGCAGTTGTTATGCGAAGGCAGGACTTGGTAGAGACGGTTCCGTAGCTCATTACAACGCCACTCTTCTTATTAAAAAAATATGGCCCTATCAAAATATATACGACTTGAAGAATCAAAGTGGATTTGAATCACGAAACCACACGAGAAATTAAGAGCAACAAGACGTGCGAAGAACAGAAGAAAGAAAAGCTTCTTTACAAGAAAACCGCGCTTTAGTTCCAGACGTATCAGTAAAAAGGTAAGGTTTCAACTGGGTATATCTAGTTTAGCGTACCACAAATAAAGCTCAACTAAGCAGGTAAAAAATGGGAATGTATAAGAGACCTTCGCATTTCTGATTAATTGCATGTTCTGTACCAGAAATAGATATTAATCAATATTATATAATTAACCAGAAGAGACGGAATATATAAGAAGTCAACATTGAAAATATTTCACAATTTTTTTTTTTTTGCGAGTAATATGACTGTTCTCTTTTATCTAGTGGAGTTAAAGTACATGTACATGCACAGGTAAATTTATCTTAAAAAATGCATCATAAGATCATAATTACGAGTGTGGCCTTGGCGCTCCTTGAATTGTCGCTTGCTTACATCTGCAGTTTGCCCAGGATTTCTAATTATATAAGGTAACGCCTAGTTCCACCCTGATCTACGTATAGTACGCCATTAAAGCACGATAAAAAAACTCAATCAAGGCACAGACCGCGTATCAGTTAATTTGTGCTTCGAACGTCAAAAGCAACCGTAGCAGCAGCAACCGCAAAAACAACAACGATGGAATTACTGTATTGTCACTTTCGGTTGTTTTTGTCTTTGTTGTTGTTTATTTTTTACTTCTTGCTCGGTTTTGTTTGCCGGTTTTGCCGTGCCTTTCGTGTTTGGTTTGTTATCGTTGTCGTATCCGTTATTTCTTTCATTATCAAAAAAAAAAAAAGAGAGAGAGAGAGAGAGAGAGAGCCGGAGAGAGACTTTCCGGTTTTCACGAGTTTAAAATTGTTTATAAAACATGACATTTCGCCTGCAGCTGTGGTAGACTTTTCCAGAATGATGATCTTTTCGTCTGGTTTTGAAAAGAAAAATGGTGGCAAATCCTCAAAGTGTCTTGGGCTTAATCAAATCCAAGATCAGTATGATTATCACAATGACTGACAGACATTGTGTAATTAGCCGGGAAACACCTGACATCAAACAATAAATACAACCTCGAAAATACACAGACGTCTGTCCGTCCGTCAACAGTAATTCACGTTTAATTCACAGCCATTTTTTTTATGATCAAACAGTAAATTGCAAAATAATTAATCGGGAGGACCACTAAAATCGTCATGACAAAAGCCTCGTAAACGTCAACACTTTTCGTTTTGATTGATTGACATTTGACAGGACAAGTACTTTGGTCACTCAAATATCTACCTCGCTAATTTTTTTCTAATTCTGATTTCCGTACACTGATACCGGTTTATTTTCTATTCAGATATCAAACAATTCGTGATTATTCAGATTCATAATTCGAAAAATTTATGATTCAGATACTGAAAATTTAGAAAATTCAGTCTAAAAATTCTTGGTTTCACTTCACTTCACTGTGTATTGTCGTTTCTTTTTTGGTTTTCCCAGCTGCTTGAAAACTGAGCAGCTGTCGCCTTGAGTACGTACGACAGCCTTGCGTCGTTTTTCTCGAACATTAACACCGGTATCAAAGAGAGTCCCTGCATCACGGGGCAACAGAACAAGCTTCGCATCGTGAAACTGAGATACGCCATTTTTGTCGTATTAATCCCGAGCCAGTAACCATGCTGTCAACTACAGCGTGCCTTCTAGCATTGATTGGATGAACCGCGATATTCAATACCGTGTGTAGGCATATACGTGAGTACACTCGACATTTTTGCCAAAGTCCTATTTACTTATTGTAAACATAAATTAGCTTTTTCAAGATTTAAAATAAGTTTTAGAGCAATTTTGTTTGCGTTTTGTGGTAGCTTAGCGAAGCATTTACCACTTATTTTTTTACCACTTTTATTACTGGTTGTACAAGTGGCCTAGATCTCGGGGACAAAAACTCTTCATAGTTGTGCAAAGGACCTACAGGATTTCTTATTTCTTATTATCCACGCCTCGTACAATGCAACTGTCAGCTTATAATAATAATATGCAATATAATAAATACAAAATCATAAGCTTCGAGTGCACTAGTTTATGGATGAAGTTTGTGTGATCCTCTTTGGACATCAATCTGCGAGAGCTTAGAATTACAAAAATTACCGAGAAGTAAATCTAACCCAAAGAAAATTTTGATGGTTTGGAAAAAAAAATTTTTTTAATTTATTGAAATCCTTAGTAATTTTGATAAGCACTGATACGCATGCGTTAACCATATCGTCGATAGCAGATGCTCGAGCTAGTTTAGCACCCATTTTAGCTCAAACATCACAGTCGTCCACATATTTATTAACTGTCATGAAATCTAATTCGAACCGATTTATTTTGCAAATAAGGCAGACAACAAGATTTTACTGTTAATCGTAACCTATTTCTGTTTCCCTTATAGTTACTTTTGTTTAGTTTTTTTAATTTTATTTGCACTGAATTCAAGCGATCTTTATTTCAATTGTACGTGTTTGATAGTAAAGTTGTCATTGTTGCTATTACTTTCCACTGAAGCCGTTTTTCTACACATTTATCGGCTATTTTGCTTCTCATATTATCTGTTATTGTAGAGAATTGGAAACTAAACGTTTTCAAAGTACCTATCACCCTTCTGACAATATTCTCAGTATTGATTCTACATGGGGTAAGATGTTGAATAACCTGAAAAAAATTCATAGTTTGAGTGCGGCTTCTTGAAGAAGCCTGCGTAGCCAGGCGTTCCTTGAGGGGGGGGGCAAAACCCACAAGGAACGCCTGGCCACACAGGCTAAGAAAACATACGAAAAACACAAAAACACACAAACAACAAAGGAAACAGAAAACAACTACAACGACAAAAAGCAAGGTAACACGACCAATAACTCAATTCTCTGCATTATTTCGACGGAAGGTGCCAGCCAACATAACTTTCGATGGGTAGAAGAAATCCGTGTTTCTGAAACCTTTTCAAGGTTGTAATAGAGTTTTCCCTTCCTTTAGGTCGGCACCCGAGTGACATTCGTATTTCTTTGTCACTTCGTTTAGTACTTATCTAAGAAAACTTCATGCACCACTTTTCATCGTGTGCGAACAGGTTTGTCTAGACTAACTACTATCATTGTCAAATTTATCTTTTTCCTATGACAAACATTGCTTTTCTTCAAAATTATAGGAGCGAGCGGGCTTCACTTTATAATATCTTAAAAGTAGCGTAAACACAGTTTGACGCAAGCAAGGGTTTTGCGGATAATTCACTTTGTTGACAGTAGATAGTTGTCAAATGATGAAAAACGGTCATAATTTGATAAAAAATTATTCATTACGTGTTTATCTAAATACTCGCGAAATGACCAAAGGCCTGGAGCAAACCTGTAAATCACCTTCTTAAATTTCATTTGTTCGACAGGTGGTAAAGGCGACATCAATCGAAAATTCAGCACTTGTTTTACATTGTAATCAAACCTACCGCGATGGCGTACGATATGTTCTACAAAGGGTACTTCCTAACTCCAAACCTGACAATGGCCATTATCTATATAATTTTTGGCATCTATACTGTTGTTGGCAATATTCTAGTTTGCTGTGTTTTCATCAAAGACCCAGGTCGAAATCTCAGGCGGACTTCCAACTACTTTGTAGTGAACTTAAGCTTGGCTGACATCCTGGTCGGGATTGCAGTAGAACCTATAAATGCGGCAAGCTACTGGACTAATAATAACGAGATCCTCTTCGTTTATTATGTCTTTGCTTGCCTTTCTTGTATCTGCTCCATACTAAATATCTGCGCTCTTATGGTAGACCGTTATGTGGCCGTAAGATATCCATTCCAGTACCGTACGATCGTGTCTGGACCAAGAGTAAAACTAGCTTTAGTAATCATATGGATTCTATCAATACATTTTGGTGTTCTACCGATCCTTGGCTGGCGTTCAGAGAGTTTTCAAGTTTATTTATACGCACTTGGAGTCTTGACTCCGACTCTTGTCATGCTAGTGACGTACTACGGCCTGACGAGAATTCTCAAAAAGCAGGTTGAAAATTTGAAGAATATCTCTGACACTAAAGAGTCAGCTTTCACTCGAAGAGGCGTCGAGCGAGAAAAGAGAATTTCAACCACAGTTTTTATCATGCTCATGGTTTTTCTCACCGCTTGGTTTCCTTTCGTCATTGTTGATTTTCTTTTAGTTTTTGGCTCCACAAGTCAAGATCCTGATGTGCGTCTTGCACGGGATATTACACTCAGTCTCGGGTTTTTCTCCTCTGGTATCAACCCCGTATTGTACGCTTGGAGAATTCCTAACTTTAGAAGAGGGCTTCTTATCTTGTTACGTTTGAATAAAGTGCGTAAGATTCGAGTTGGTCATCATTTAAACTCCTCTGTGCTACATACGAATTATAGTATTAATAGCGTTAACCAAAACTAAAGAAAGAAAAATCACGTTTGGGGCACTGGGCTCTCAAACAAGAAAGACCTATGCGGATTAGGACTTATCTAGCTCGCTGGAGCGTGCTCAGAGCCATCCGATGTATATAAGAACAAGAGCAAAATTTTGAATAATGCAAGTCGTGTTAAAGGAAGGAAAAAAGGGGAGTAGCCTAGTGAAAACACCGCTCGAAGCACAGTAGAAAAAGAAAAAGCTCAAAGGAACCAGAAGAAAAAAGGAACAAGAGCTGAACGCTGCTCTCAGATTAGAATTAACAAGTTTTCAAAACGTCTTTCCAGTGAGGAGACGGTAGAAAGTTCAGGAAATAACAACTTAATAATAAGTTTTGATGGTTCAAGTGTCCTGTCACTGTAAGCTTAGAAGAAAGAACAGAAGCTACTAGAAGTTAAATAAATATTTGGAAATTCCAGTCAGGATTATTCATATCACATCAAAACGTTTTGTCTCTGATTTATAAAATATTGGAGTCTTTTTCGTTGGTCCTTAAACAAAAATCTCCCCTGTATGGTGGAGGCCTTTTTCACTGTATGAGGTCTTTTTCAAACAACTTAAAAGTCTGTACAAAAAATATCATTTTTTTGTAAGTGAAATACAATTACCGTAAAACTGAGCGACTCTCTTTAGGCTGAAACGAAAATTTCAAGAGGAAAAGTAATTATGGAATCATTCGGACTTATCTTTTTTTAAGTTAAAGTAATTATGAATCAAATCAGTAATAGTATTAATGTCGATAAGTCCTGAATCGAATGTAAATGAACTATTAATTGTTTTAAATGTATGTGACTTAAATTTTTTCCAGAACTCTTTTTGTTTATTTACGCATAAAAACTGGTCTTCTAGGTAAGCAGAAATAAAAGAAATACGTTGACGTAATGGAAGTCGGTAGCAAAGACTTTTATTCCACATTACATAGCCTGAGGACTTCCGAAGGCTTTTGGAGATTGCATACATTCAACCACTGGATAAGGAGTTACTATGGGCACCTTGGCGAAGTACTATATGTCAATATTTGCGTTTAAAAAGGCTTACTCTTAGCTCAGTTCTTAAAATAAATAGTCTTATGCTCCACTCACAGGCTTTTCCTGTCAATTTTAAAACTGCTTCGGCAAATACTAACTGGACTTAGATTTTTAGGTAAGGTTCAAACATTGTCAGTTCAATTTTTAGATTTGCATATTGGAACATTCATTTATTTCTAAATTATTCAAGTGAATGACCACCATTATTCGAAATTTAACCTGAGTTATTCGATTTTTCATGACTATTCGAAATTTAATCTGAGTTATTCGATTTTTCATGATTATTCGAAATTTAACCTGAGTTATTCGATTTTTCATGATTATTCGAAATTTAACCTGAGTTATTCGATTTTNTATTCGAAATTTAACCTGAGTTATTCGATTTTTCATGATTATTCGAAATTTAACCTGAGTTATTCGATTTTTCATGATTATTCGAAATTTAACCTCAACTATTCGATTTTTCATGACTATTCGAAATTCACGGCAAACGTCAATTGACCAGTGAAAAAGTATTTTACATTCCTGAGAAGGACTTGCAAAAGAATCCAAGTAGTAGAAAAACAAAAGAATATTTGTGTGTGGTGAGAAAGTTTTGTAAAAGGTAAAGTAAAATACTGGAAAACGATGAAATAGTGGTCACGTTTGCCGTTTGCGGGAAGAAATAAAGTCAATCTGAAACTCTCTAATTAATAGAATTGTTTAAAGCAAACTGGTGGGAATACACCAGATCATCAGATCGGTCATCAGATCTCGATATCATTTAACTGGCAAATTAAACACAAAATCCGTGAGAAAAACGCAAGGAAATCTTTTGATATCCTATGGTTTGATGATGTTTGATATGGTTTCTACACGGAAAGGTAACATTTGAAATTGAATGTCGTTGTTTTGCTGAGTAAACAAATATACATCTTTATTAAAAAGCTTGCAACACTGAGCCAACTTGAAAGGAAATCTTTGCATCCACATGAGAAGTGTTTTCACTAATTTCAATACAAGTTTCTAGAGTCATAGTACCATTTCTCTATTAGTATCTTGAACTACTTAAAAATGTCAAAAAGGCGGGAAAATCTAGCAAGTGATTGTCACAACTCAAAACTTTAAAGGTGACTTGCGTGCATTTGTGTTAACAATTGAAGCTAAATAACTTGAAGTAGATGTAAGAGTTTAGATATGACTAAACTTGATAAAACAGAAAAATAGAATAATTTGTTCGCCATGTAATCGGAAGCGACGTCATCGTCACTTTCAACAAGTTCCGGCTTCGCGCACGACAACGCGAAAGCCATGCCTCCAAAAAATTCCATTCTGAAGACCAAACGAAAGTTCAGATAGTCAAGGAACTGAAGCAAATTTGACACCCCTCCCCCCTCCCCCCC